GCAGACTCTCACTGCGATACTTTCGACACCGTACCCGCCCAACAAAAGGTCGGAGTTTCGTCATTCTACTGCGTCCAGAGGGCCGACAATGTCGGTGAGCCTGCACCTGACGGCCAGTGTCGCAACGTCGCCACATTCCGTCGATGCCTCGGTGTCGCGCTTCCCATCCTTGTCGCCGCCTGCAGCCTTTCGATCGTCGCCCTATATTTGTCTTCATCCGTCGGTTCGTCGTATATCCGGTCACCTCTGTGCGAGATGGCAGGTTCCTTTGCCATGAAAAATTGGGGACGAGCTCGAAGGGAATCACACTAGATAAGCATAAATTTGTAAATAAAACTGATAATAGCTAGACTTACGTGGTGGTGTGGTGTAGCTGGGTTGTCGGTTGGTGTGTTGCTCGGAGGTTTATGGGGGCAAAAAAGGTGGGATTTGAAGTTAGGGATTGATGTTGGAAATTAGATAACTATAAACGACCTATTTACAATTTTGTAAATTTTGATTATTTTTAGTTTAACCTTTGAGCCAAATCTATATTTAGAAAATCTAAATAAAAATATTATTTTAAAATATATTTTATACATACTTATTATATTATTTTAACCAAAAAGTAATATTAAAATATTAAATAACATTTATAATAATAAATAATAAATATTTTAATTGTTTTAATTATATTAGATCGAATTTACACAAAAAAAAATTGTACTAAGTGCAAAATGGAATTAAACATTATGCACGTTAGTGATTGTCAGGTTGCACTATATTGTTAGCCTAAATGCACATTATTGCATTCAAGAATGTACATTAGTATATCAATGAATATTGTTTTCATCCTTTTATTTGTTTTCAACAAACAATAATATAAAATGTTAAATAAAAATCAAAATGCTAAATTTATTTTTATTGTATTTTTTTTTCCCGAAACGATAGAGATACTATTATAAATCAAAAGCGCACAAGTGTGCGAATACAAAGCTCCCAATGGGAGAAAAAAGTGGGAGGACAGGTCAGAAGCCCGCCTAGAATCCCGCTAGCAACGCTAGAATAAAAGCTCAAAACAAAACAAATCAACGACAACACCAACTAAGCCAACTAAACAACTAAACAAACTAAAGGACCCCAACAGGGTAATATCCGAGAGTCGGCTCCCAACAGGAGAATTAATTTGACCCTCGGACTCACAGGAGCCAACGACTCAAACAAAAAACACAATCCTACACAAAAAAACACAGTCCTACACAAACACAAGACAAAAACAATAACAAAAGAGAACACATCCTCCCCCACCAGATACATTGAGAATGACGACAGACAAACCAACTCCAATGACAGCTCCCGAGCACAGAAACCACCGTCCACCACTGCGAAAGGCCTAGCAAGACGGGAACCCACACCCCTGAGCCAACCTAAGAGCTGTCCCGCACTCCGATCACGTGCAGCAACATACACGGCTCGGCAGCACCAACCCAGCCCGCCTGAAACCGCAACCCATCGTCTCAGCCCAAAGTGGTGGAACACAACTGAGCAGCCGAAACAACAACCCCCAATCGAGAACCACCAAAACTTGCTCGCCAAGGAAGAACCGAAAGGTTCCTCTCTGATCAAGGACAAAATACAGTACCGAGACAAAAGCAGCATAAGGAAGGACAAACCTCCAATTGACCTGGACACAGCCAAAAGACGAACAATAAGAGGCCCCAACCCAGCGCCGCTTCGCCGGCGAAAAGGCGCGGCCCTGACCGGTGGCAAGAGAGGCAAGCGAAGAGAATAGGCGGCGTCCCAGCCAGATCCAAGTGTAGTGAACCCAGCCTCATCCATGGACAAGCACAGCACCCCGACCAACGCCGATGATACCTGGACTCCGACGACCCACCAGCGAGGAGAAACGACTCCTATGGCCAGCGCACAAACGGGAACCAGCAACAGCAATTGAAGCGAGGTCTGCATATCCATGGACAAGAGAAGGAGGTCGTCCACTGCCGGACCCGAATTTCTGGCGAGGGAGCTACGATCTGCGAGATTTGAGTAGCGATGTGGATAGGGTTTTCGTGAGAATT